ACTCATGCAGCTGCAATGGCTGCTTTGGGTACGCGGTCCAGACCTCCCAAGAGACCCTGGCTGACAGAGGAGGTGTTCAGGATAGTTGAGAAAAAGCGACAAGCCCACTGTCATCGGCTACAGATTCCCACGTCAGAGAATGAGGAGGCTTACCGCAGCCTTCGCTCGGAGGTTCGGAGAGCCGTGAGGTGCTGCAAGGATGGGTGGTGGTCGCGGGTTGCTGAGGAGATGGAGTCTGCCTCAATGGCCCGCGATCACAAATGTCTATTTAACTCCATCAAAAAAGTAACCTGCAGCGCCACACCTATTACCATCATTAGGGGGAAAAACGGTGATCCAATCTCCGACCCCCAGGAACAGGTTTTCAGATTTGCTGAGCATTTCTGTGAGGTCCTGGGGGAGGGGAAATCCCTCAACCAGGAAAACATCGATGACCCTGCTGAGGCTGCGGTGCCACAAATATTGGAAGAAGTCACCCCCTGTGAGTGGCTGGCTGAAGTGCCATCTGTTGAGGAAGTACTGAAGGCGATCGGGAGTCTGAGACCAGGAAAGGCACCGGGCAGAGATGATCTCCCAAGCGAAATGCTGAGGGAGGGTGGCGTTTGTACACAGACTGCCCTATATGACATCATAACAACAGTCTGGACCACTGGACGGGTTCTGCAGGATTGGAAGGATACTCTGGTGGTCCCCCTCTTTAAGAAGGGGGACCGCACAGACTGTAACAACTACAGGGGCAACTCACTCCTCAGTGTGCCGGGAAAGGTCCTGGCAAGGATTATTCAACAACGCCTTGCCAGGCACGCTGAGGAGAGGCTTGCGCAGCCCCAATGCGGTTTCAGGGAGGGGCGGTCCTGCACAGATGCCATATTTTCTGTCCGTCTGCTACAGCAGAGGTGGTAGGGAATTCCAACAAGACCTACATATCTGCTTTATTGACCTGGTCAAGGCCTATGATACCATCAGTAGGCCTGGGCTCTGGGTTGTTCTTTGTGCTCTTGGAGTCCTGACCCTCTGCTCACGATCATTAAGGACCTTCATGATGGTGAGCGGGTCCGGGTAAAACTACGTGGTCGGGAGTCAGAGCCATTCCCTGTACACCTTAGGGTGCGACAGTGATGTCCTCTGTCTCCCACGTTATTTAACATCTATTTTCACCACGTAGTTCGTGAAGCCTTCAATAGCTGTACCGGGGGAATCTCCAGTTGGTACAGATATAATGGGAGGCTGATCGATGCCCGGGTGCGGTCAAGGGATGGCTCCTTATTGCTCTACCACGTTATGTATGCCGATTATTTGGTAATAGCTGCTCATTCAGAGGATGAGTTTGAGACGCTGCTGCTGAGACTGGAGCGTGCCACTAAGAGATGGAGCCTTACCATCAGCCCCACCAAAACTAAGCACCTGCCTGGGTATTTTGTACCATCGGACACTCCACCCCCACAACTCCCTATCGGAGATGGGGCAGTTGTGGAGAGAGTGGAGAGTTGCCCATACCTGGGCAGTGTGCTTATGACCGGCTCCAGTTTAACAGCAGAGGTCTCCGAATCAGTCGAGCGGAAATATATTTTCATCGGTTGCGTAACGCTGTGTGGAAGCTGCATGGTCTGTCGCTCCGCACTAAGCTTCAGGTCTTCTCGGCCACGGTCATTCCCTCCCTTCTCTACGCTTGCGAAACGTGGACCCCCCTAATGGAAGATCTTAGCCGGTTAGAAACATTTGGGCTAGCCTACCTACGATCCATCCTGGGTTTAACCAGGCTGGATTGTGTGAGGAGCACACAAATCCTTGAAAGATCTGGACAAGGTCCCATCGGTGAACTCCTCCGGCAGGCAAGGCTGCGTTGGCTGGGTCATGTAGCCCGCATGCCCAGCCAACGCATGCCTAAACAGCTTTTGTTTGGCCGGATCAAGGGGGCTAAACGGGCGCGGCACGGGCTAGAGAAGATGTGAAGTGATGTGGTACGGGAGGACGTGGAGCTGAGTGGACTTGCCGATGACTGGCACCAGCGGTGTCAAGATCGGCCTATGTGGAGGAGACTCGTGAAGGACGCTACTGGGCAGTTGGAGGTAGTCGCCCTCCAACAACAACGGAGGGCGGAGGAGCGACGCTCACAACAACGAGCGGAGCGCCGGGTGGCTAAAGCACAGCAGATTGGCACAGTAGGGGGCACAGGTGGTGCATCAGCCAGTCATCTCAGTCATCTTAGTCAGCCGACCCGTGGCACTTGGGTCTGCCCCGTGACCTCCTGCCAGCGGGCGTTCGACACTTCACGTGGCCTCAAGGCCTGGCACAAGCGTCGTGGTGACGTCACCGCCACTTAGTGGCGAATGGCGGTTGTTGTTGGTTAGCGCGCTGCGCTACGAACCTGGCTACCCAGGTTCGATTCTCGCTCACGGCCAACACCAGTGACGATTATCTAAACCGGTCCTGGGCCTCCCCTAGGTCGACTCAGCCTCAAATTAGTACCTGGTGGTGCAGTGTGTAAACATCGCCACTAGGGAGATAAAGGCGGTCGGGCGTGGTGCTGGCCACCCACCCCCTCGTGTACCGTTGCGGCATTCATAGGTGCTCGGTAACAGCACTTGCCCCTCCAGTCTGTTAAGGCTATACGGGGGATCTTTGTCTTTTGTGTGCGTGCGTGTGTGTCAGTGTGTGCGTGTGTTTATTCCGATATCAAATTCACGCGCGCGATTATTTGTGCCGGCGCAATGAGCTGTCGTAGGTTTAATAAATAAAGCTGGCACATATATATCACTAAAGAAAGTTAAAACGAACGGTCACAATTGACTGGTCTGCACGCTCCTTGGAGAAATTGAAAGTAAATTCTTTTCCAACAACAATGCTCCATCTTCACCCACCAGCAGCACCACCACCTCCAGCAGCAGCAGCACCACCACCACCACCACAGCCGCCACAAGTAAACAAACACAATGCTCCCTTTAATCACCCGTTACTGTTGCGTCAATATAACCTTAAGATGGAGTTAAATTGTGGGCTTTTGATGGTAGGGGCAGGGGGGCTTCTTCAAGCTATCAACGCGGTTTGCAGAGTATACCGCCAGAGCACGTTGCTTTGTTCTGTAATGTTAAGCGGTGCTAATTGAGCACCGTAATTAAATTATCTTTGGGAGGGGGGGGGGCTGTGTAACTGGCTGCTGCCTCGTGTGAAATGTAGCAGCAGCAGCTCCTGATTCATCTACGTGGCTGTTCCATCATCATCGTTGTCGTCGTTAGTTTGGAATGCGCAAATGGTGACATGTTCCTCGCAGCAAAAAAAATGCGCCGAGATTCCATTCCTGACTCGGGCGTCTATCGGTACGCAGTGTTTGTGTTCTCCCCCTGGCACGCGAGAGGGTGGTGTCCAGCAGCACGATGTTTGCACACCGCAACAGGTGCTTATTTGAGGCCGAGTCGACCTAGGGGAGACCCCACAACCGGTTCAGGTGATCGTTACTGGATTTGGTAGCCGCGGGCAGGAATCGAACTCGGAGTGGCCTGTTCCGCAGTCTAGCGCGCTAACCGCTGCGCCACCGCTCTCCCCAGACGAACCCACGCACAGAGACGCACACACAATCGGCCACGACCACGCCACGCACACAACAACAAACACGACAGCATCGAAGGGCTCTCGCAACAAAAACAACAAGAAAAAACGAGATTGCAGAGCGTAAATCCCGAGATAATTATACAGCGGGCGACTTTACGCCGAGCCAAAATCGTAATTGGCTCGTTTGACCAATTACTCGCTGGTCGGGCGGGCGATAGGCATTCGGCAAAATTGTTTAAATTAATCGCGCGATACGACACAGGGACATCAAACAACACGCTTTGTTTTTCAAAGGCGTGGCGGGTGGATTTGTAACATTTGCCCACTGAGGATTCCACTCCGAGCCTCTCCCAGCCCCGACCCCGCAGTCTCACGCGCGCGCTTTAGTTTCTTGATCGCCCGCATACGGTGGCGGTGGTTTCGGCTACGCAGCACGTGGTTCTGTGTACGTGGAACTTCTTTCGCACCGTACGTAGCCAACCGTGCTCATCGGGAGTGCGCGGGAAGGACAACAAACTAATCTAAAAAAAAAATTGGTTCGAAAGAAATGAGTTTTTCAATCTAGACGATTTTAAAGTGCACAGCTCCTATGAATTCCTAATATAGGAAGGGAGAGCCTTCCAGACGGCTACAGAAGCGCATCTGAAAGCGCGCGATGCAGTGAACGAGCAGCATTGAGGCATCATTGGCGTTCAACTCCTCTTGAAGACCCCTTGCAAGGCTGGTGGTGAAAATTCCACCCTCCTAATTTCTGCGTCGGAGGGAATCTGTTCTGTTCTTGAGAATGATCGCATCAGCACCAGCATCAATCTGGGTCAGAATGTCGATGTCAGTGTCGAGATGTCGTGTCGCTGATCCTCCTCCTGCGTTGACGGAGCGCCGATCGCAGTGGGTTCACTGTGGCGGCCGTCGAGTGGGTGGCTTGGCCCTGTGGTGTGTGTGTCTTTAACGTATCTCTGTGGGTCTCTATGTGTCCCCATGGGTCTCTGTGGGCCCCTGGGTCTACTCTATGGTCCATAGTTTGGGTTGAATGGTGTGTCTTTAATGTATGTTTACGTGTCATTACGTGCTTATATTGGTCTCCATAAGTATCTCTCTCTACGTGTCTCTATTGGTCTCAATATGTCTCTATCTATTTCTACGAGTCTCTATGCATCGATGTGTATCGATGATTCTTCATGAGTATACATCTCTAGTTATGCTTTGGGTCACTCTCTCTGTGGATCTCTACGGGCTCTTTATGCGTTTCTACAGGTCACCTTGTTCCTCTATGATTCGCTACGTATCTCTATTAGTCTGTTTCGCACAACCGTGGCTCGTGTATTTAATTTTCCTTGAATGAAGTCGACCCAGCACTATGGGAGGCAGCAGGAAGGGTTGGTGGGTCACAGACAGGTGATGTTGCGAAACTCCCTTCTCGTGGGCGTCGTAGGAGGCAGCACAGCTAAGTGTTCACTCATCTCCATCTGTTTATTCCGTCTGTACGGGGATCGAGTGTTGCCCCCTCGCGCAAGGCGTGCGTTTTGTCCGGGTGCTCCGTTTTACTTCCACGCGGTATAATAATAAGAATAATAAACAAAACTTATCATGAATTAATCTTCTTGGTTCTTTCGGTAAAGTCACGTTCTACGTGACTTTACCTACGTGACTTTACCGAAATAACCAAGAAGATGAATCCCTGCAGTCACGAAAGCTTTAAATCGAAATGTATCATGAATTGTCGGAAACAACTGACAAATCACAACCCGATGCAGCAGTGGCTGCAGCACCCTCCTGCCAAAGAGACACTGTCCACAGTATGGCTCCCTTGGATGAATACATAAGCAATAATTAGGATTTGTATAATAATCTAAGTAATTATTCTATTAATTACGGTTGCTGAGCACATTGCCCAAGGACCCAAAAACGCCAAGCGAGCAGCAACAAGCAGCACCGCTGAAGCTGCACTCGTAACGCGTCTCTTCCGTTGTGCAAGGCTCTCGGGAGAATTGACGATACAAATAATTCTGGCCAAATTTGTTCAATCATCCGGCTCACACATCGCCCGGCTCGAGGCCCTGGTTCAGCGGTGGATGTTCCACGTTCTCATGGCGTGACCCAGGCCACCGCCACAACGAAGATTACCCATTTTAACGACCCAACATTGGCCCACTGGCTGAGTCGAGAACTCTGCTCCTCTGGGGTGTCCCTCCTCCTCGGCCAACCGGGGGAACTGAACTCTTTGTTCAGATCCCTTTGACAAGGTCGAGAGGTCATCGCGGCCAAGGCTGTTGATGCCACCACGCGTCGCCGTCGCCTCCTTCCTCCTGCCAGATCGTGAAGCCGCTCCGCGGTTGGCTCGTCCTCCCGAGGATTTCTCTTCATTGCCCCATCGCCAACCTCTGAAATGAATGTTGAAGCGAACAGAATGTTACCAGAGTGGATTCATGATGCCCGCAGCTATAAGTCCGTGCAGAGGTGGGTGGGGGTGCGGGAGGGGCCGGGGGGGGGGAAGGAATGCCACATTCCTATGGCGGTGCCAAGTAACTCCACAGGACAAACCACTGGTCGTATGCGCCAATCGGAATGCACCTCCATCTCGTCTCATCCCAGAAGCTCAGCGGGGCAGAGCTTGGGCAGAAATCGGATGCGGTGACAACCCACGTATGCATACCAGGTGTTATAGACCACGGCGGGACACGTCATGCACAGCAGAGGGCGGCGCAGCAAGCAACGTGCTACAGTCATACTGTACTGTACTTCTATGCCCCCCCCCGACTGCACCGGGCCGCGACTCTCCTGCTCTGCAGCGCGGTCCAATACGATCCAATAATCCTCAGGAGCCACCACCACAGTGCCACAGCGGACGTGAGGAGAGGCCTTCATCCAGCAGTGGATTGACCATGGCTGCTGATGATGACGCTGCTGCTGCTGCAGTTGCGGCTGCTGCTGCGTCACGTGATTGTGGGGACGAAGGGGAAGCGGTGGTGGGAGGATGAATGGTGGAGCGGTGGCACCGCTACACATCCAGCGACCCGCGTTCGATTCCCGCTCACGCCACAGCAACCGGTGACGAATATCTGAACCGGCCCCGGACCTTCCCTAGGTCGACCCAGCCCCAAATGACCGCCACTGTGGAGACAACGGCGGTCGGGCGTGGTGCTGGCCACCCACCCCCTCGTGTGCCTTGCTGCTACTCGCTAACAGCACTTGCCCCCCAACAGTCCGTGCATGAAGGCTAATACGGGGGATCTTCATCTTTCGGGCGAAGGGGGCGGGGGGTTGAGAATGGCAGGGGAGGGTCGTTGGGAGGTTGGAAGCAATCACGGAGAGTGGGTTCTCAATTCTAAACAGTCCCAGCTGCTGTCTTAACGTCCCCTTGATTGACGCTCACTCCGAGGACTCCTCTCGGGAAACGCGGCAGAGCCAGCTCGGCGCTTGGTGGCTGCGCGCCGCTGGTTGCCACCCGTCCCAGATTTCCGCCCGTGAAACCAATGATGCTGATGCGGGTGCGTTGGCGGTGTTGCACAAGCAGAGTCAACAAGAACAGCAACAACGAACTCAGCACTGAGCGCGCGCGCACGTGCGTGTGTGTGTGTGTGTATGTGTGCGCGCGTGGCCTTAAAAGGAAATCGATACAATTAGGCGACGTTTCGGGGCCTTGGGGCCTCGCTCGAGACTCGGCTCTCGTGTTGGAGGAGCCCGGAGAAAACGCGCCACGAAAACTTGACGCTCGCAGCTCCGCACAGATGGATTCACGGGTTTCCTTTAAGCTGTATGATGCAAATGTATGGCTCCTAATTGCTCATTTGTATTCGAGAAGAAACGCGCACACGGATCTTCGTCACGTATTGGTATGGTATATAATATACACAAGATAAAGATCCCCCGTATAGCCTTAACAGACTGTAGGGGCAAGTGCTGTTACCTATAAAGGCCGGCACGGCACACGAGGGGTTAGGTGGCAAGCACCACGCCCGGCCGCCTTTGTCTCCCTGGCGGCGATATTTACACACAGCACCGGGTACTCATTTGAGGCGGAGCCGACCACGGGGAGCCCCACGACCGGTTCAGATATCGTCACTTGGTGTTTGGTGGCCGTGAGCGGGAATCGAACTCGGAGTCGCCGGGTTCGTTGCACAGCGCGCTAACGGCTGCGCCACCACTCCCCCTTCCCTCCTCGCACCGATGGCACTGCCACCTCCGAGGCCGCTTAAAAACGTCACGCCGACGACACGTGGCAAGCCCTGCACGCGGTGAGCCCAGCTGGAACCCCGACTCGCTTCCGAGAGGACGTCCCGACGCGTTCTATCCGTATCGATTTGGACCCCCGGCGGATTATAACTCATTGGGCGCGCAGTTTAGGATGAATACGATATCAAGTCTGATCAATGTCGCATTACTGAATGCACGAGGGGGAGCGTGAGGGTGGGGGTAAAATGGGGGGTGGGGGGGGGGGGTTGGAGGGTGGGGTTGGAGGTTGGGGGGGAGAAGGAGAGATGGGGGTGGGGCGGCTGAATGTTTAAGTAGTGATTCCCTAATACCCGCTTGCGTTTCAAACGTGTAACAGCCTTTAATGCGCCCAAACCAATCCGATGGTGTTACTAATTAGTGCGATTGGGAAGCATTCAATTACCCAGGAGGGGGGGGGATACATCAAATAATTACGTAAATAATTAAATAACTATCTCACCCCCCCCTCCCATATACCTCCTCCTCTGTCAATTCACTGCTGTGTGAATGCCTCCTTCCGTCATTCTCCCCACATGCCTCGCACCTCCGATTAGCACGGTCGGCTGCGTACGGTGCGAAAGAAGTTCAGCATACATTGGGACAGCGTTGGATTCCCCCAGACTTTGTAATTCATTTCGCAAGGTGGGGTTGGTTGCGATGTGTTTCTCGTCCACGTAACATCAACCCCACGGCCCGAAACACGCCTCTCCGTCCGCAGCCTTTGACAAGTTGCTGCTGTCCCTGGTACACAACGCGCACCAATCACTGCCCCGCCTACACAGACCGTCAGGCCGCGCGTCCACACCCCAACATGAACGGCTCCGTGTCGCCCGATCAAGCACAACCCTGCCGAGTCACTCCCTCGCCCCTCGAGTTGCCAGAGCATTGCTCTCTTGACAGAAGCTCCCTCCTCCTTCGCTCCGCTGTCCCGATATGGAACTGCCCTCCCCGATGAACAAAATTGTCGGCGAGGTCACCGATCCCGGTCTCTTGGCCTTCAAATGCCGTGCACGTGGACATCTCCTAACCTCACCACGCGCCTCGGATGATATTGGTCGCGACAGCCGACGACGTGTTGAACTGACTCACCTCTGTGGGGAGGATACTTTTCTTCAAACCAAGAACATTGGAGAAACTCCCAATTAAGCGGATGAAGCTGTTGTCTTCACTGGCGTTCCTCAAAAGATGCAGAGAATTTACGCCATCTAACCCAAAACAACCTGTATTACGGACGGAGTCATTGAGCTGCAGTGAACCAATGATTATGCCGATAGGATGTACTCACGTCTCACATGGCTGTTGTTCACAATTGCACCCAATAACAACAACAACAAAAACGACGCTCACTCGGGAGGAGGAGGATGGACCTGATGCGTGGTGTCGATGGAACGACGCCTCTGACGCGCAGCATCCCAAATCTTTCTCTGAAGCGAGCCTCATTATTAAAACAAATTAAAACTATAAAGGCTTTTTGTTCATGCTGCCAGGTAAGGCCCCCACTGTGCTATGCGGCTCTTTTTCAGAAGCGACCTCGCCACAATTGATAGCTCAACGAAGAGTGGCTTATAACGTGGACGTGTATAGCAGCCAAATACTCTAAAAGCGTGATGTTGATACTAAATGCAAAGGGGGGGGGAAAAAACGGAGGAACAGGAGAAACATCCAGCGACCACTGGGAGAGAGAGACACGCAAACTCCAAATATACAGCAGCAGCAACAGGCGTCACAGTCGGAATCGAACCCACGACCTCTTGTATACCAGGCGAGGTAGTTAACATATCGTCGTATGAAAAGGACAGCTACTGTGAGCCGTGAAAAGGAATCTCTCGGCGTTTTTACCACCAGAGTTGCATTCTTCACCTCCAGTGGTTGGGGCGACTTTGATTTTATTTCGTGCCCAGATATATACGACGACTTTGTAAGGGGAGGGCAAAGAAAATCGCGCCACGTTCTCTCAAATAAAGTCCATCGATTCGTCACGGCACCAAATCTAATCGCCCGCTCGCTCTATCGCGAACCTCTAGCACCCGAGGAGCATTTAGATAAGCCCCAGGGGTACAATAACGAAGCACAATAGGTACGGCGTGATGGCGGTGCGCACGTGTGCGCTTGGGTTCCGTGGCAGCGCTCGCGAAACAAAGACAACGATCCCCCGTATAGCCTTTCGCAGGCTGTTGGGGCAAGTGCTGCCTGCGAGCGACTTCGAAGGCCGGCACGGCACGGGAGGGTGTTGCTCTTCGGAAGCAACACCCGGCCGCCTTCGTCTCGATACATTCACACACCACACTCGTTTTCAGATCGACCTATACGGAAGGTGCAGAAATCGGTTCAGAAAATCGTCACCGGTGTTGGCCACGAGCGGGAATCGAACTCGGGTTCGTGATGCAATGAGGCTATCCACTGCTATACTACCGTCTCCCCCCCACCCCCCCCACGCACACACACGGATGACATAGAGCACGCGAAAACGGACGAAGGAATACACGCAACATCCTTACACGTGGCTATGCTCGCGTGCAATGATTATAAAACGAGTTCGATTCTCGACCACGACTAACATCAGTGGCGATTGTTGCAGTGGGGACAAAGTCAGCACTGGGGAAACAAAAGCGGCCGGGGGTGGAACTGCCCCCCCCCACCCTCCCTCCCGCCCCCACCCCCTCCCCACCAATAATATGTCAAAGACGATGCCGGGAAGGGGTACAGTTATTTCTTGACTTGAAGCTTTCGCGACTGCAGGAATTCATATTCTTTGGGTCTTTCGGTACAGTCACGTAGATTGGTTCAAGTAAAATTGTCTTTCTTTGAACCTATCTACGTGACTTTTCCGAAAGACCCAAAGAATATGGGTAAAGTTATTGTCGTGGAAGTTCCGCCCACCGCCCGCCATGCAATTAATTAGTGAAAGCAAAGAGGCTCAGGCATCGATAACTTGTGATCTCACGCGGCGGGTATGGATCTTTGTGTGCGCGCCTCGAGGGAAAATCACAGCGTCTCGCTACTTTTGTGCTCTTTAGTTAACGCGTGCGTTGGACGCTGGGCAGGAGTGACGCGCTCACGCACTCACCCACACAGTTACCCACGCACTCACTCACACAGTCACTCACACACTCAGTTACCCACGCACTCACGGACACAGCCACTCACCTACCCACGCACTCACTCACACAGTCACTCACCCACTCAGTTACCCACGCACTCACGGACACAGCCACTCACCTACCCACGCACTCACTCACACAGTCACTCACCCACTCAGTTACCCACGCACTCACGAACAGAGGCACTCACACACTCAGTTACCCACGCACTCCCTCACACAGTCACTCACAAACTCAGTTACCCACGCACTCACGGACACAGTCACTCACACACTCAATCACCCACGCACTCACTCACACACTCAGTTACCCACGCACTCACTCACACAGTCTCTCACACACTCAGTTACCCACGCACTCACCTAATCTCTCACACACTCAGTTACCCACGCACTCACGGACACAGTCACTCACACACTCACCCACTCAATCGCTCACGAACACCGTCCCTCGCACAGTAACTCAGTCACTCACCCATTCACTCACTCACCCACTCAATAACTCACTCACTAACACATTCGCTAATATACTAACATACTCACCCACTAAAAACTCACGTGCGCCGAATGGGATACACGCCGCGGCCTGCGGACACACACAGCCTGCATCATACCAAATACAAATATCGCCCGTATAGCCTCATATATTGTTGGGACAAGTGCTGTTAGCGAGCACCTATGATGGCCGGCACGGCACACGAGGGGGTGGGTGGTCAGCACCACGCCCGGCCGCCTTTGCCTCCCTCGTGGCAATGTTTTACACATCGCACCAGGTACTCATTTGAGGCTTAGTCGACCTAGGGGGAGGCCCATGACCGGTTCAGATCATCGTCACCGGTGTTGGTGGCCGTGAACGGGAATCGAACTCAGGTCGCGGCCGGGTTCGTAGCGCAGCGTTGCGCTAACCGCTACGCGATCGTTCCCCACCATCCCCACCATCATCGCCATCATCCATGTCGCTCATCGCCAGCACCATCAGCACCACCACCACCACCACGCTGGGTGTGTTCGTGCCACTGACGCAGTCGCCTGGCAAGGCGAGGCGGGGCGCGCGCACGAAAACCACGCAGCTCCCCTCCCCTACTCCCTCCCTCGTTAGCGGAACACCGAGAGCCCATAAGCTCACAGAGATCTGTAGATTCACACTGAAACCCATAGACTTACATAGAGACTCAAAGACTCACACAGAGATCTGTATATTCACACTGAAACCCATAGACTTACATAGAGACTCAAAGACTCACACAGAGATCTGTATATTCACACTGAAACCCATAGACTTACATAGAGACTCAAAGAATCACACAGAGATCTGTATATTCACACTGAAACCCATAGATTTACATAGAGACTCAAAGACTCACACAGAGATCTGTAGATTCACACTGAGACCCATAGACTTACATATAGACTCAAAGACTCACACAGAGATCTGTATATTCACACTGAAACCCATAGATTTACATAGAGACTCAAAGACTCACACAGAGATCTGTCCATTCACATTGAGACCCATAGACTTACATAGAGACTCAAAGAATCACACAGAGATCTGTCGATTCACACTGAGACCCATAGACTTGCATAAAGACTCAAAGACTCACACATAGATCTGTCGATTCACACTGAGACCCATAGACTTACATAGAGACTCAAAGACTCACACAGAGATCTGTATATTCACACTGAAACCCATAGACTTACATAGAGACTCAAAGAATCACACAGAGATCTGTATATTCACACTGAAACCCATAGATTTACATAGAGACTCAAAGACTCACACAGAGATCTGTAGATTCACACTGAGACCCATAGACTTACATATAGACTCAAAGACTCACACAGAGATCTGTAGATTCACACTGAAACCCATAGACTTACATAGAGACTCAAAGAATCACACAGAGATCTGTCGATTCACACTGAGATCCATAGACTTGCATAGAGACTCAAAGACTCACACAGAGATCTGTCGATACACACCGAGAACCATAGACATACATTGAGACTCAAAGACTCGCACAGAGATCTGTTGATTCACACTGAGATCCATAGACTTACATAGAGTCTCAAAGATTCACACAGAGATCTGTCGATTCACACTGAGATCCATAGACTTACATAGAGTCTCAAAGATTCACACAGAGATTTGTCGATTCACACTGAGACCCATAGACTTACATAGAGACTCATCGACTCACACAGAGATTTGTCGATTCACACTGAGACCCATAGACTTACAGAGACTCATCGACTCACAGAGATCTATACAACGGAGGAGGCACCGTAACGTAACCAGCGTGGTGGCAGGAAATGCCTTGGCCCTCCCCCAGAGGCCAACACTGTGAGTTGTGGCCCCCGTGACATCCACCGCGAGATGTATACAACAGTCCTGGGCCCCCACCTGACCGATTGCCGCACCCCCTGAGCTAATGATGAAAATGCCGCCACTGTATCGCCGCCGTACCAGAATAATAATCTCTAGAGGAATCCGATGAGCTGATAAGCTCTTTTGTCACAGAGGTTCAGTTAGGGTCGGGTCGGCGAGTTACAACAAGGAACGATGGGATCAGTCCTCCTCCTCCCTCCTCCTCCTCGCTCCCGTCGCATAGTATTCGTTTTACCTACCACGGACGGCGTTGTTGCTGATGATGACGGTGATAATGGTGGTGGTTTGGTGATGGGTGGTTTGTGGGTAGCGGAGAGCGCCCTGCGCTGCGAACCCGGCGATCCGGGTTCGATTGCTGAACACGGCCAAAACCAGTGACGATTAAGTGAACCGTTCCTCTGGGCCTCCCCTAGGTCGACTCAGCCTCAAATGAATACCTGTGGTACGGTGTGTAAGCATCGCCACTGGGGAGACAAATGCGATCGGGCGTGGTGCTGGCCACCCACCCCCTCGTGTGCCGTTTCAGCCTTCATAGGTGCTCGGTAACAGCACTTGCCCCAACAGTCTGTTGAAGGCTATACGGGGATCTTTGTCTTGTTGGTTTGGTGATGATGTCACTCTGCTGCGGATGTGAGTGTTGTGAACGCGAATGGTGATGCTACTGTTGATGAGCGATTGAGTTGTTACGACTGCGGCTGTTGCTGATAATGATCATTTTGCTGCATAATGCTGTTACTGCTGCTGCTTATGATGATAATGCTTCTGCTGCTCATGCTGCTGCTGAGGATTTTGCCGATGACGACGATTATGATGATGATCAATCGATACATCTAGATGCCCTTCTCTACTCGTCCTCGGGTATTGATTTTGCCGGTGACACGGGGTATATGGAGTCTCGCTAAGCACGCCTCGCCCTATCGGCGCTGTCCGAATCCGCGCGATGGAATCGGAGATTCATCGCCGCTGACGGCGCCTGACAGAGATTCACTGCGGCGCTCGAGCGCTACCGCGGTGGCTATGAGATGTTAACTACATCGCCTGGTATACAGGAGGTCGTGCGTTCCATCCCGAACCTGACGCCTGGTTTACATTTGGAGTTGGCACCTGTTTGCCTCCACGTGGTCGCGTGGATTTTTCTCCGGGTCCTCGGGTTTCCCCCCACCACATTTAGAACCAACGTCACGCGTTTATAGTGTC